GGGGTGGGGCTTTGTGCTGCTGTTAGGTTTTCAGGAGGATGGAATGGGAGAGGAGTTCCTGTTTCCTCCTGTCTTCCCTAGTTTAGAGATGAAATGGGGGTGTGGACTCCCTTGTTTTCCCAAAGCCTCGTTAAAGAGGAAGGTGTCCTAAGGCTAAGTCTGGTTTGTAGCTCATTTTTTGGTAAGAGAAAACTGCGAGTCTAGCGTATCATCCCATCCCCCATCATTTCTACCCAGCCCCCAGCTCTAGGGGATGTCTTTCTCCCAAAGCCCCAAACAAGTATTCAGTATGGGAGGCTAAGGTGAGTGGAATCTAAGAACTTGGGGAAGGGAAGGGTGTTTCTTACCAGCTACACCCACAAGAGTACGTTTGTCCTGTGCAGTGTTTATAATTGTTTCTGAGCAGTTGTAGGTGTTCCTGTTTGTGTGCTATGTGTGCTTCTGTGTTCTTGTGGTGTGTCTGTGGATATGCTTGTCCATTCATTTTATATCTGTATGTTGAACACCTCCTGTGTGTGTGCCAGGGACCAGGGCAAATATAGTCCCTGCCTTTGAATAACTCAGTCTGGTGTCTGGGTAGTACCAGGGTGGTAAAGGGTATGTGTATAAAAGTACACTGTCAAGGTCTAAGAGTGTGTTTGGATGTATGTGATGGGAATGTTGTCTAATGTATTTGTCTATGGGCTTATTTGCAGTTTCTGCCCAGCCCTTTCTGGGGCAGGTGGCCAGGTGCTAGTAGATAGGCTTTCACTTCCCCATGTAGGGGAATTCTGAAAACTTTCTCACCAGACTGGCCTCCATTTCCCTGTCTGTAGAGTGGGACTGGACTTGACAGGTGGTTAGAGGGAGACAGAGCAGTTTAGCTCTAGAAAGTGTGCCCCTCCCATGAATGGTTCTTACCTTTTCCTGACCTCTTAGCTGAGGATGTGCTCCATCCCCCCAGCCTATCTGAGTATAAAAGCAGAGCTCTGGTAATGGGAGATTGTGGGCTGTTTTATTCCTCTCTGTTCCCACCTGGGCTGGTCCTCTACTGCCAAGGGCAATAGTAGCTGAGGACAAAGGCTTCTCTTAGGCAGTTTCCCTTTTTCCTCTCTTTGCCTCCCAAGCTAGAAAATAAGACCAGGGCAGCAATCACACTGGTAATAGAGGAGAAAGTAGCTGAAGCTGGTCCTGCCCTAGCCCTTTCTCAAGGGCACTCTCTGTCTTGAAATTGATCCCTTCTGCTACTTTCTAGACCCTCTGTGTGGATCTGTGGAGCATGGAGAGAATCCTGTGTTTTTCTTCCCAGATCAGTGTCTCTTTCTTCCTTCTCTAGCATTCTGTCCTTCCCAAACTTCCTGGCTCTTTTTAAATTCAAGCCTTTTCATCATTGCCTCCCCAACTGCAGCTTTGTTTCCTCCTGCTCTAGCTCCCAACTCTGACCTATCTTGCCCTGGCCCCTAATTCTAGCCTTCCCTTCTTCCCATGGCTAATGGAAGCCTTTTTCTGCTGTGACTTCCAGTTCTGGCCTCCTCTTCAGCCCCTACTTCTGTTTCTCTCTTTTCCTTAGTCTCTAAATTCTATCCTTTTTAGCCTGTTCTCTCTCTCCAGCCCCCACCATTCAGTTGTCTTAATTCTTTCTCAAACACTGACCCTCCCCCCCACCAACCAGGCCTTTGAATCTCCTTCCTGCTTACATTCAAAGAAGCATCAAGGTGATGCCATTTTTTGTTCAGGATGGTAATGAATGAAGTGAGCACCTGATTGGAGGAGAGTAGAGAATTCTTGGTCTGCTAGATACCTGGTGGAGACAGGTGTCTTAATCTGTAGGAGGAAGAGTTTTGTTGCTGGGAGCTAGATTTAGCCCCTCTGATTAATGTGTAATAGTAGCTTATTACATATTCACTTGATGAATTTAAAATAGACAACAAGGATAGTTTTTCCAACTGGAGAAAGGTTTAAAAAACAAAAAACAACAGCACAAATGAGCCTGAGATATAGTGGAAGTCCTCAACTAGGTTGAGTAGTAGGAAAGAGGCTTTCACCGTACTCTCCTGTTTCTGTTCTGGAAGGTAGAAGATTTTCAGACTTTACCCTACCCGGCCTTTTTGTCTTACAGCTGCGGGCGCCTACCTGCCCCCTCTGCAGCAGGTGTTCCAGGCACCTCGCCGGCCTGGCATTGGCACTGTGGGGAAACCAATCAAGCTCCTGGCCAATTACTTTGAGGTGGACATCCCTAAGATCGACGTCTACCACTACGAGGTGGACATCAAGCCGGATAAGTGTCCCCGCAGAGTCAACCGGTAAGTGATGCATATCTAAGGCACCAGGTCCAGGAGTCTTTGCTTTCCTGAGTCTTTGGACCTTGAAAGGAGGGCCAAAAAGGTAATAGAAAAACAAATAGAGAGTAGTACCACCAAATCCAAGAATGTTTTTTAGGAGGAGATGATGCATAAGGTAAATGGTGGAAAATATCATTGAAGTTGGCTATTAGAAGATAATTGGTGGCTGAGCACGGTGGCTCACCCCTGTAATCTCAGCACTTTGGGAATTGAGGCAAGAGGATTGCCTGAGCTCAGGGGTTCCAGACCAGCCTGAGCAACATGGTGAGATCTTGTCTCTACAATAAATAAAAAACATTAGCTGGGCATGATGGTACATGCCTGTGGTTCCAACTACTTGGAAGGCTGAGACAGAAGGATTTCCTGAACCCAGAAGGTCGAGGCTGTGGTGACTGTGAGCGTGCCACTGCACTCCTGCCTGGGCGACAGAGTGAGACTCCTACTCAAAAGAAAAAAAAAAAGATAATTGGTGGCTTTTGCCAGAGCAGTTTTATTAGAGTAGTTGAGCTAGTTAATCTAACTAACTACAGTTAGTTATAGAGTAAGTGGATGCTAATGTAGGAATAGTGAGAGCAGATAGCTTTTTCTAGATAGGTTGGCAGTGAAGTGGGGAGAAAGTGACTAGAGAAGACTGTAGGGACCAAGTACAGTGCCTAGCACATTTCAGCATTTGTTGAATGGATAAAGAATTTTTAAGATGAGGCATGGGTATGTTTATAGATTGAGGAGAAGGAGCTAGTGGAGAAGGAGAGGTTAAAATTATAGAACAGAGAGGGGAGAAATGAGAGTGAGATGTTCCTGATAAGGCAGGAGGACATTGCAGGATGCACAGTTGGAGAGATTAGCTATAGACAGGAGAAGCAATATTTCTTTCTAAAATTTTATTTGAAAACTATATGTACAATATAAAAAAATCAAATATTATGAAAAGAGTAGCAGTGAAAAATGTCTCCTTATTACCTGGTCTCTAATCTCCTGTACCTTTTTCCAGAGGCGTTAATTGTTACCATTCTTGAGTATGCTTCCAGATATTTTTCCATGCATATGCAATCATGTATGCATATATAGCTTTTTTTTTTTTTTTTGAATTGGAGTCTCACTCCATTGCCCAGGCTGGAGTACAGTGGCATGCTCACAGCCACCCCAGCGTCAATCTGCTGGACTCTGGTGATCCTTCCACCTCAGCCTTCCAAGTAGTCAGAACTACAGATGCGCACTACCATGCCTGGCTAATTTTTGATTTATTGTAGAGATGATGTCTCACCAAGTTGACCAGGCTGGTTTTGAACCTGAGGGCTCAGGCAATCCATTCGCCTTGGCTTCCCAAAGTGCTGGGATTACAGGCTGAGCCACTGAGCTTGGCCTGTAACATTTTTTTAAACGCACAAAATATAGGGTTCTCTATACTTGTTCTGCACCTTGCATTTTTGCACTTAACAATATCTTTTGGAGGCTGGGCACAGTAGCTCACGCCTATAATCCCAATACTTTGGGAGACTGAGGCGAAAGGATTGCTTGAGCCCAAGAATTTGAGACCAGCCAAGACAACATAGCAGGACCTTGTGTCTACAAAAAAAAAATCAAAAAAATTAGCCAGGTATGGTGGCAGGCACCTGAAGTCCGAGGTACTCAGGAAGTTGATGGAAGGATTGTGTTAGCTCAGGAGTCTGAGGATGTGGTAAGCCGTGATCATGCCAATGCACTCCAGCTTGGGTGACAGAAAATAATACATATCAGTATATACAGATCTGCCTCATTCTTTTGCATAGCTCCATGCGTATTCCATTGAATGATTGTATTGCAACTTATTTAATAACTCTATTGAGGAACATTTAGGTTGAATCTTTCCCTACCTAAGGAGTTCCTGTTAGTCTAAATTCTGCTACAAAACGAAACTGTGTTGAATATTATATATATAGATGCATTTTTGCACTCAAATATGAGTGTATCTGTAGGATTTCTAGTAGAGGGATTGCTGGCACATTTCAAAGCTTTCAGATATTGCAAAAATTTTAAAAGATAAGCTGTACCAATTTATACTCCCATCAGTAAGATATCTGAGTACTTGTTTCCTATACCTGTACTAATCCAATATATCAGATTTCTTTATCTTTGACATTCTGCTAAGTAGATAAATATATCTTGGTCTGATTTTAAATTGTATTTTTCCGGTAAGTAAAGTATATTTTTATATGTTTAAAAATAATATCTGAGCTGGGCTCGGTTGGCTCAGCCTGTAATCCCGCGCCTTTAGGAGGCTGAGGTGAGTGGATTGCCTGAGCCTGCTGGTTCGAGACCCGCCTGGGCAGTGAGATCTCATCTCTACAATAAATAAAAAAATCAGCTGGGCATAGTAGCGCATGCCTGTAATTCCAGCTACTCGGAAGGCTGAAGCAGAAGAATCGCCGGAGCCCAGCAGGTGAGGCTGCGGTGGCCGGGAGCGGCCACTGCACTCCAGTCTGGGCGACCGAGTGAGACTCCAACTCAAAAAAAAAAAAAAATAATAATAATAATAATAATAATATCTGTGCCTAGGTGTGGTGGCTTACGCCTATAATCCCAGCACTTTGGGAGGTCGAGATGAGAGGATCGCCTGAGCCCACAGGTTTGAGACCAGCCTGGGCAACTTGGTGAGACCTCATCTCTGCAATAAGTAAAAAAAATCAGCCGGGTGTGATGGCTCATGCCTGTGGTTCCAGCTACTTGGAAGACTGAGGCAGGATCTCCTGAGTCCAGCAGGTTGAGCATGTGGTGGCCATGAGCATGCCATTGCACTCTCGCCTGGGCAACAGAGTGAGACTGACTCAAAAAAAAAAAAATATATATATATATGGAAGGAACATTTCAAGTGTATGAGGAAAGGAAAATAAGATGCATGTGCATATATAAATATATATGAATATGTTTGTGTGTATGTCTGTCTGGGAACTCGAAGGTGACCTTGCATACTATCCTTGACTTTTTTCAGAGATAATAGAGCTGCTTTCTGATAGGAGGTAGGAATGAGTTCTGAAATTAGAGGATAGTGGAGAAGGTTCGACAGTCTATGAGGGATGGAAGTAATCAGGGACATGAAAAAGATTGCTAGGCAGCACTGAAGCCTAATTGAGATTGAAAACATGTGATTACAGTTGCTCCTAATATAACATTTTGAGTGTTTTTATCCAGTAGTATTCAAAAGCTTTAATTTAGAAAGTGGAGAGGTCAGATGATTAAATGAATTGGAATTTTGAAGGAATGATAGACACCTTGGGGTCTAAGTGGCAGAGGACAGGAAGTGAAATCAAGGAAGAGATGATAATGTAGAGAAAACAGATTGGTGAGACTAAGGGCTTCAGAGAGGTGTAAGTGATGAGTTTCTTCTTCCACAGTTTATTCCTATTCTGCTTCACATGTCTTTCTCTTCTACAATTTTTTTTCCTGTCAGATTGGGGTCTGGAGATTGGAACAGCCTGGATTCTGTTCTAATTCTTGATAGACCTTGGGATCAAACCCTTTTCCCCTTAGCCTCCCCCTCTTCTCACAAGGTTCTCACAAGGTACTCACACTCACTCTTTTAGGTCCCTTAGAGCCTTGGTGAGGACCATCAGCATCACCTGGGAGCATGTTACAAATACAGACTTTTGGGCTTCGCTCTAGACCTGCTGAATCAGAAGCTACATTTTAATAAAATCTCCAGATGATTCATAGGAATGTTGAAGCTTGAGAAGCACTCCCATGGAGTAGATGTTAGGAATGAGAATAATATATGGGATATTACCTAGACTTGAATCTCTTCCAAAGTTTGAAGTGGTGGTAGTCTCTCAGCTTCCACAGGCCACTCCTATTCCCACAGGGAAGTGGTGGAATACATGGTTCAGCATTTCAAGCCTCAGATCTTTGGTGATCGCAAGCCCGTGTATGATGGAAAGAAGAACATTTACACTGTCACAGCACTGCCCATTGGCAACGAACGGGTAAGTTGGGAGTCAGGTTAGTCCTGTGTTAGGGGTCTGGGGTGAACAAAGCTCACTTAAGCCCACTTAGAGTGGTGGTCCAGAGATCCTTTTTATATCTTTTGTGCTGAGAGAGTGTTTTAGGGCGAAGGGTGGGTAAATGCTGATGTTTATTTAGTCTTTTGTGTGCTTGGCCTTGTCCTAAACAGACTGATTAGACTTAAAATGGACCTAAAGGACTTTCAGCTAGGCTGAGGTGGTTGAGAGAGACAGAAGCACTAAGCCAAGCTGGCTAGAAACTAAGGGGGGCTGGGTTTGCTCTGGGGTCTTCCTTATGAGCCCCTATCAACTTGAGGAGCATATTCTTGGCAAATCAACGGAGTGGGGAATCATCGGAGCACAGCAGAGAATGCTGGTCTGTAGGAAGTGATGGCAGACCTTCACCTCTTTTTCTCATTCTCCTGAAGGTCGACTTTGAGGTGACAATCCCCGGGGAAGGGAAGGATCGAATCTTTAAGGTCTCCATCAAGTGGCTAGCCATTGTGAGCTGGCGAATGCTGCATGAGGCCTTGGTCAGTGGCCAGATCCCCGTTCCCCTGGAGTCTGTGCAAGCCCTGGATGTGGCCATGAGGCACCTGGCATCCATGAGGTATTGGGTGTAGTTAGTATCTGGGCTACCGGTGTTGGCAGAACTGATATTGGGCGAGGAGAGGGAGTACATATTAAGGTTCCACCTTGTGCCATTCAAGAAAAATTATTTGAAACCCTACATGTGTCAGGCAATTGTGCATATACATTTAGATAATTTAAAGCCCTGGCCCTGAACTTCTTAGGTATCTTTGGGCCTCATCCCATCTGTCCCTGCAGGGCAGGGAAAAGGTAGAAACTTGTACAAGGTCAGTCATACAACTAGTAGAGGATGAGAGCTGGCATTAAAGCCCCGGTGTCCTGCCTTCCAGGCCAGGGCTCCTCCGTGCCCAGGATGCCTCACAGGGTGGGGGCCTGTGCCCGAGGGACCAGTTCTCTGCCTGTCCCTGCCAGGTACACCCCTGTGGGCCGCTCCTTCTTCTCACCGCCTGAGGGCTACTACCACCCGCTGGGGGGTGGGCGCGAGGTCTGGTTCGGCTTTCACCAGTCTGTGCGCCCTGCCATGTGGAAGATGATGCTCAACATTGATGGTGAGTGGGGAGAGCTATGGAGCCATGGGCACCCCAAGTCCAGTGACCACACTCCCAGCCTCATCCCTCCCAGCTCTGCAACCACATTCCTAGTCTAATTCCTATAGCCCTGGCACCCCCCATCCCCTTCCCAATACCCTATAAGGAAGAGGGTATGAATTTCATTGCCTCCATGTGTTCTAGAAGACAGAAACTGAGCTGAGCTATTTCTACCCTGTCCCCACAGTCTCAGCCACTGCCTTCTACAAGGCACAGCCAGTGATTGAGTTCATGTGTGAGGTGCTGGACATCAGGAACATAGATGAGCAGCCCAAGCCCCTCACGGACTCTCAGCGCGTTCGCTTCACCAAGGAGATTAAGGGTGAGGACCTGACAAGGTGGGAAAGGGAAACAGTGCTGCTTTCTCTTTAGCCCTAAGAGGAAATCACCTTGGGATGTATTCAGGGGAGAGGCCAAGACTGGGCACTTGAGCAGCCTATTCCAGCCCTGACAAGCAGTGTGTGTATCTCAGGCCTGAAGGTGGAAGTGACCCACTGTGGACAGATGAAGAGGAAATACCGTGTGTGTAATGTTACCCGTCGCCCTGCTAGCCATCAGACGTAAGTTGGCAAGGCTACTAAGCCATACTTTGTTGGTAGAGGATGGCTGAGATTTCAAACTCACTCTCCTTCCCTCCCCCCACTGACCCTGAGAATGAGCCTTGATCTGACCCTGTTTTCAAAGATAAGATGTGGAAATTTGGGATCCCTCCTCCAATCTTCCCAGATCCATTGATACTCTCCCTTCCATTTTTTACCTTCTTTTTTTTTTCTTCTGAGTTGGAATCTCACTCTGTCACCTAGACTGGAGTGCAGTGGCCACTCCCAGCCTGCTGGCAGGGCGCACAGCTCGACCTGCTGGGCTCCGGCGATCCTTCCGCCTCAGCCTTCCAAGTAGCTGGAACTACAGGCGCGTGCTACCACCCCCGGCTAATTTTTGATTCATTGTAGAGATGAGGTCTCACCAAGTTGCCCAGGCGGGTCTTGAACCCGCGGACTCAGGCAATCCACTCACCTCAGCCTCCCAAAGCGTGGGATTACAGGCTGAGCCACCAAGCCCAGCTTTTTTACCTTCTTGATCTCCTCCTTTCCTCCTTGGGCCTTTACTGTAGAAAAGGCATGTTCCTCTGATTCCTGTTATGGTTATGTAAATATTAGAATTGCTCTCAATTTGCTCTCCCCCCCCCCCTTTCCCTAAAAATAAGAAAGCCAGGCTCCTGGCTCCTTGGGAAAGCTATCAGTGATTCCATCCCCATTCTTGACCTCAAGCCACACTGGGTTTTACATGCCGGCATTTGGATTTATGCTCACCATTATAAATATGGATGAATCAGTTTGGTCCTGACTTTTGTGGAAGTTGCATCTCAAGCCTTTGGCTTCTCTCTTTTGAAACCTTGTATTGCCTGCTTTCCTATGAGTGGCAGTGCTTAAAGAGGTTGGGTAGGATGAAGCAAAAGTATGGAGTTTCTGTCTTGTACTCCATAATCATGTTGGGAGAAAAAAAATAAAAAGAATTAAAAAGTCTGGGACTTCCCATGATTATGGATCTAGGGAGATGGAAACTGAATGCTTGGCTTTGACATCTCCTTACCTTCCTCCAAACAGATTTCCCTTGCAGCTGGAGAGTGGACAGACTGTGGAGTGTACGGTGGCACAGTATTTCAAGCAGAAATATAACCTTCAGCTCAAGTATCCCCACCTGCCCTGCCTACAAGTTGGCCAGGAACAAAAGCATACCTACCTGCCCCTGGAGGTGAGACTGCCAAGTGATGACTGGGCTGTGGAATGGGCATTGTTGTACCTTAATACTGATCATCAAAGTTCTGTTCTTTTGTAGTATGTCATCCTCACTTTGAAGTTTGGAAAATTGACATTCCTAGAAGGTATGAACCTTAGAAGGTTCTTCTGTGAATGGCAGGCCTCATTCTTACTGCTAAGTTGATTTCTATCCCCCATCCTACTCACATGTTCTTTCAGGGCTGACAGGCAGAGATGCAAGCTGTATTTTCTGTTTAATAAGTAGTTGGTTTATTTAGGACAGAAATTTTAGATACCCACAGTCATGTTCTCTTAATTTCTCTTTCCCTACTGTCAAGAGCTGGGGATTCTAAGTGACCTGAAGATACAAGTATATCTTTTTTGAATGTTAGCTTTTTTTTTTTTTTTAATTGAGTCAGTGTCTCATTCTGTTGCTCAGGCTGGAGGATAGTGGCACACTCACAGCCACTGCAGCCTCAACCTGCTGGACTCAGGCAATCCTTCCGCCTCAGCCTTCCAAACAGCTGGAATTACTAGTGTGTGCCACCACACCCAACTAATTTTTTGATTTATTGTGGAGATGGGTCTCACCATGTTGCCCAGGCTGAACCACTGCGCCTGGCCTGAGTGTTACCTTTAATGTAATTTTTATTTCTCTAATGACTAATGTATTCCTTTTGAAAAGTGTTAGCCCGAAGATTTGTCATACCTTTTTTTTTTTTGAGTTGGAGTCTCACTCTGTCACTCAGGCTGGAGTGTGGTGGCACACTCACAGTCACCCCAGCATTGACCTGATGGGCTCAGGCGATCCTGCCACCTCAGCCTTCCAAGTAGCTCAAACTACGGGCATGCGCTACCATGCCTGGCTAATTTTTTGATTTATTATAGAGATGAGATCTTGCCAAATTGCCCAGGCTGTTCTTGAACCCATGGGCTCTGGCAATCCCCTTACCTCAGCCTCCCAAAGCGCGGGATTACAGGTTTAAATCACCGTGCTTGGCCAACTTGTCATACTTTTATATATCTGTAGACCTCTGGAATCCTGTGATTAGAGAAAGAATAGTAATGCTAGTTAAATCATAAGCTACAAATGCAGAATTATTAGGCTGTATTTGGTTTGGTATACACTAGCCAAAATATCTAATGAGAAACTACTACTGGTTACTTTTTGTCTAGTTCAGTGCTACCCCAAAAGTGTGGTCAAGTGTACCAACAGGATAGGCATTATCTGTTCTTTAAAATGCGGCTTGTGGCTCAACCTGTAATCCCAGCACTTTGGGAGGCCAAGGTAAGTGGATTGCCTGAGCCCACGGTTTTGAGACCAGCCCGGGCAACTTGGTAAGACCTCGTTTCTAAAATAAATCACAAAAACTAGCTGGGTGTGGTAGCATGTGCTTGTAGTTCCAGCTACTTGGAAGGCTGAGGTTTAAGGATCTCGAGCCCAGCAGGCTGATGCTGGGGTGGCCGTGAGTGTGCCACTGCACTTCAACCTGGGCGACGGAGTGAGAATCCAACTCAAAAAATAAACAAATAAATAAAACGTTTGTTTAAAATGCAGAATTTCAGTTCCTATCCATACCTATGGAATCAGAGCCTGTCTTTTAACAGGATTCAAAGAGGATTCATATGTACATTAAAGTTGAAGAAACACTGTCCTAAACTACCCTCTTATTTTATTCCAGCAACAGAAGTCAGATAGCCCAGATCAAAGCTCAAGCTTTTTGTGAATTTCTGAGATTTCAGAAATAACCTGAGGGAATTAGGCTGAAGGGAGAAAACCAAGTATCTCTGACTTGGTTAATAACTGCTGATGTACAGAAAATGGTGTAAACATATTCTCTGAGGTGTGAACAGAGGTCTTTAGGGATGATTCCAGCCAAATAGATAGGTGATATTTACTGCAATCTGAAATTTGTTAGCAAATTATCATTATTTCTGTTTAAACCGTAGTTTCCAAGGTGAATAATTTATGTAATGATTTAAATATTGATTTTTACTGTTTAACAAATATTTATTGAGCTTCTACAGTGTGTCATATACTCTTATGTACTAGTATCATAGATAATAACAAGACAGACAAGGTTCTTGCTATCATAGAGTGTACATTCTTGAAAAGAGATTTAGAGAATAAGTTGTTAAACACATTGTCAGCTGGTGATTGCTGCATGAGGCCCTGATCAGTGTCCAGATCTCTGTTCCCCTGGAGCCTGAGCAAGCCCTGGGGATAGATACAAAAACTCATGCAAAGATAGTTTCAGATGGTAGAAAGTATTATAAAAATCATAAAACAGGTTAAGGTGGAGGAGGATAGAGAGCTACTTAAGTGATTGTTGTCAGGGAGGGCCTCATTTAGGAGACATTTGAGCTAAGTCCCGAATTATGGCGTAGAATCAATCAATCTTGTAACACCCTACGGGAAGAGCCTTCCAAGGCAGGAGGATAGCAAATACAAAGTTTCTGAAGCCAAAGGGAATTTGGATCTTTTTAAGGGATATACAGAACGCCATAGTAGATAGAATATATTGTATAAGGAGAAAAGTAGTAGAAAATGATTCTGTAAGGGTGCGGGGTCAAATCATGTAGGTTAGTGTAACCAGGTTGGGGTTTTATTTTTTTTTAGAATAGCTTTATAGAGCTATAATTCACATACCATAAAATTAATCCTCTTGAAATGTACAATTAGGTAGTTTCACAGAACTGTGCAACCATCACCACTGTCTAATTCCAGAACATTTCATTACCCCCCCAGAGAAAGCCCATACTCATTAGCTTTCACTCATCATTCCTTCTCTCCCCAACAATCCCTAGTTACCACTAATCTACTTTCTGTCTCTGTGGATTTGCCTATTTTGGGCATATCATATATATGGAATCATGTAACATGTGGCCTTTTGTGACTGGCATCTTTCACCTAGCATAATACTTTCAAGGTTTATCCATGTTGTTCCATTGTATGGATATATTATATTTTGTTTCTCCATTCATCAGTTGATGGACATTTGGGTTGTCTACACTTTTTGGCTTTTATGAATAATGCTGCTATGAACATTGATATTTTTGTGTGAACATATGTTTTCATTTCTCTTGGGTATATACGTGAGAGTAAAAGAATATGTAAATATGTTTAACATCTTAAGCATCTGCCTGATTGTTTCCTGAAGTGGGTATGCCATTTTACAATTCCATTAGCAGTGAATGAGAGTTTCAATTTCTGGCCAGGTGGGATTTTAATATAATTATAATAGGAATTAACTGGAAGATTTAAAGTAGAAGAACAATACGGATTATTTGAATCTCCACAGCTGGAGACTAGAAGTAGCCAGTGCCTCCAATCCAGCTTTGTGCTTTCCTTGAGTAGTTATCCAGACCAGTAAGAATGTCAGTGAAATCATTTATTCATGTTCCAATCACAGTTTGTCCCTTCTTTTGCCTTTCTTTTTTCAAATTGTGGTAAATATACATAATATAAAATTTACCTTTGGCTGGGCACGGTGACTCAAGCCTGTAATTCCAGCACTTTGGGAGGCCAAAGCAAGAGGATTATCTGAGCCTGCGGGTTCGAGACCAGCCCAGGCAACTTGGCTAGACCTCGTCTCTATAATAAATAAAAAATTAGCCAGGAGTGGTAGTGCACATCTGTAGATTCGGCTACTTGGAAGACTGAGGTGAAAGGATCTCCTGAGCCTAGCAGGTCAAGGCTACGGTGGCCGTGAGTGTGCCGTTGCACTCCAGCCTGAGCAACAGAGTGAGACTCCAACTCAAAAAATAAGATAAGATAAAATTTACCAGCCGGGCTCGGTAGCTCAACCTGTAATCCCTCATCTTGGGAGGCTGAGGTGAGTGGATTGCCTGAGCCTGCAGGTTCGAGACCCGCCTGGGCAACTTGGTGAGACCTCATCTCTACAATAAATAAAAAAAAAATTAGCCGGGTATGGTAGCGCGCACCTGTAGTTCCAGGTACTTGGAAGGCTGAGGCAGAAGGATCGCCGGAGCCCCAGTAGGTCGAGGCTGCAGTGGCCGGGAGCGGCCACTGCACTCCAGTCTGGGTGACAGAGTGGGACTCCGACTCAAAAAAAAAATAAAGTAAAATAAAATTTACCATTTTAACCATTTTAAGTGTACAGTTCTGTGACATTAAGTACATTCACACTGTTTTACAACTATCACCGTCATCTATCTCCAGAACTCTGTCATCCTCCCAAACTGAAACTCTGTATCCATTCAATAATAACTCCCTATTCTTCCCTCCTCTTACCACATGGTAATCACTATTCTACTTTCTGTCTCTATGAATTTGACTGCTCTAGGTACCTCAAATAAGTAGAATCCTATAATATTGGTTCTTTTTTGACTGGTGTATTTCACTTAGCATAACGTCTTCAAGGTTCATCCATGTTGCAGAATAGTAGAATTTCCTTCCTTTTTAAGACTGACTAATAGTCCATTGTGTGTCTATACAACATTTTGTTCATTCATTAATTGATGGATACTTGGGTTGCTTCTGCTTTTTGACTGTTTGGATAATGCTGCAATGTACAAAGGTATACAAATATCTATTCAAGTCCCTGCTTTACTTTTGAGTACATGCCCAGAAGTAGAATTGCTGGTTCATATGGTAACTTTATGGTTAATTTTTTTGAGGAATCACCATACCATTTTCTATAGCAGCTATACCATTTTACCTTCTCACAATGCACAAATAAAATTCACTATATCTCTGCTTTAGTCTTTTGCCATTGTTATTTCTATTGTCTATAACTATCTTTATAGAGTACCACAATTTTAAGGCACATTTAAGGGAGCTACCTCAGATTTCAACAATTCTGGATCTACATTAAGTGAATTGACTATATTGTGTATTCTTTGGAATATGAAGTTTGCAGGCAGGTCACCTTAGCCTGGTTTCCCTCCCATTGTTTAGCATGAACTCTGGGAATGAGGGCGAGAAACAATACATAATGTTGGCCCTATGGGAGCAAGTTATATATTTTATCTAACCTAAATCCTTATAACCTCATGGGACAGCTAGTTTGTGTGTGTGTGTGTGTGTGTGTGTTTGTTTGTTTAGTTTTTTGAGTTGGAATCTCACTCTGTCACCCAGGCTGGAATGCAGTGGCATGTTCACAGGATTGCTGGGTCAAATGGTAGCTCAATTTTTAGTTCTTTTTGAAATTATCACACTACTTTCCACAAAGGTTGAACTAGCATAAATTCTCACCAACAGTGTAGAAGCATCCCTTTTCTCCACAGCCTTGCCAACACCTATTGTTTTTTGGCTTTTTTTTTTGAGTCAGAGTCTCACTCTGTCGCCCAGGCTGGAGTGCAGTGGCATGCTCACAGTCACCACAGCCTCGACCTATTGGGCTTAGGCATCCTTCCTTCTCAGCCTTTCAGGTAGCTAGAACCACAGGTGTGTGCTATCACGCGTGGCTAATTTTTTGATTTATTGTCGAAACAAGGTCTCGCTATGTTATTCAAGCTGATATCAAACCCCTGAGTTCAGGCAATCCTCTCATTTCCACCTCCTGAAGTGCTGGGATTATAGGCATGAGCCACTGTGCCTGGCATGTTTGTTTTTAATGTCTGAGATTAAGGAAGCAGAATTTCAAGAGTAGTTAAGAGACCTGTTCAAGCTAATGTCACCTAGAAATGACAAAGCTTGACTTAAAACACAAGTCTTCCAAAATCTACTAGCTTTCTCCATTCTACTACAAGCTTTTCTGTTCACAACATTCTGAATATAGTATATTAAGGAGTGAAAGTCTTATATATCGCTTAGACAGCCTTTTCTGATTGCCCTTGTGTTCCGTTGGGCCCAGGACAGATGAACAAAGTGGCAAGATGTTCCTCACACCAGCAGAGGATACTGTCAGTCAACAAAGAAAGTGATTTCTGTAGTCTCGGGGCTCAATGATCATTTGTAGATTGGGATTCAAGAGTTTAGAGCCATCCCTAGTCTTCCTTGTGAGTTACAGGATGGAGCAACTGACTTTCTGTAACCTTTAGAATCTAATTTGTGTTTATTGGGTTTTTCAGCATTCAGAAGATCTCTTGGTCCTTTGGTTAATAATCTGTATTACAATTTATTGAGTGTTTACTGTGTCCCAGAACTGTACTCAGTTCTTTAAGTGCTTTATTTAATATCAAGACAACCCTATGAAATTGTTACTGTTCTCAGTTAACATGAGACCAGAGCCTCAGATCTGGCTTTGGATCTCAAGCTTTTTTTTTTTTTTTTTTTGAGTTGGAGTCTCACTATCGCCCAGACTGGAGTGCAGCGGCCGCTTCCGGCCACCGGAGCTTCGACCTGCTGGGCTCTGGCGATCCTTCTGCCTCAGCCTTCCAAGTAGCTGGAACTACAGGCGCATGCTACCACGCCTGGCTAATTTTTTTTATTTATTGTAGAGATGAGGTCTCGCCTGCCCAGGTGGGTCTCGAACCCGCGGGCTCAGGCAATCCACTCACCTCAGCCTCCCAAAGGCACGGGATTACAGGCTGAGCCACCGAGCCTGGCTGGATCTCAAGCTTTTAATCACAGTGACTGTGCTGCCTTTTGTATTGCACATGAATATTTGCTAACTTACCTATAAAGTAAAACTCAAGAGGAGGATATGTGTATGTAGAAGGAATTTTGCTGTCCCCTTCCCCATAGCTGACAGCCAAGGTCCCTTCTCTTACTGTGGGGTTCAGGTTACAGGGAGGACTGTACTCAAGCCAGAGCCACTTGTCCTTCTTGTTTCCTCAGGTCTGTAACATTGTGGCTGGGCAGCGCTGCATTAAGAAGCTGACCGACAACCAAACTTCAACCATGATAAAGGCCACAGCTAGGTCGGCCCCTGACAGACAGGAAGAGATCAGTCGCCTGGTCAGTGGGGCTGCAGAGAAATGCCTGCTTGTTTGCTCAGTCATTGGGGGTTTTGGTACCATAGATGCCTTAATACCCCAGCAAGACCCTCCCTTAGGAGAACCCAAGTCTGTTTGTTTCCTGAGACTCCATAGGGCTTCTCTTGTTTTTTGACCCTGTAGCCACTTTTTTTTCTCTTTGTCTGTCCTGTATTACTTTCTTGTGTTATCCACTTCTACTTCTCTTATCTTCCACTTTCCCCCCTTTTTTAGGGCTATTCCTTGTCAACCACCCTGCTTCTCTTTATTGTTCTCTCCTCAGGACTTAGAGGGTAAGCAGTATTGCCAAGCTGCTACTCTCCTGAGATCCTTCTTTTTTTGCTCTGCAGATGAAAAATGCCAGCTACAACTTAGATCCCTACATCCAGGAATTTGGGATCAAAGTGAAGGATGATATGACGGAGGTGACGGGGCGAGTGCTGCCGGCGCCCATCTTGCAGTACGGCGGCCGGGTGAGCAGGGTCAGGGCCAGACAACATCTTGGGGTATTTGGGGGTGGTTGGGTTGTATAGCCAGGGGCTTTTGCTCCCCTACTTACCTGGTTCTACTGAAGCTCACCTGGCTGCCCCCTCTGCCTATCTCCAGAACCGGGCCATTGCCACACCCAATCAGGGTGTCTGGGACATGCGGGGGAAACAGTTCTACAATGGAATTGAAATCAAAGTCTGGGCCATCGCCTGCTTCGCACCCCAAAAACAGTGTCGGGAAGAGGTGCTCAAGTAAGGAGGGTTGGGTATAGGGGTGGAAGGATGGGAAGGACCCTAGAGTTGCTTGCCTTTCCCCACTCCCCCAGGGGCTGAGATTGATTAGTTGTGTGCTCTTTTTGTCTTGACCCTGCCTGCATTGTGCTTTTTGTCTAATACTTATGTATTCTTTTTCTGTCCCTCTGTGGTCAGGAGAATTGAATAAGGACCATATCTCTGTCAGAGGTGATGATTTAGGGCATGAATCTCCTAAGGGAGACCTGAATTATTTACTACTGTAATTATTATCATCAGTAATAAATGGTAGTAGTGATGACTATAGTATTTATGCCAACACTGTACTTACATTCCTGATTTATGTTCTCTCATTTCATCTTTACAGTGAGTAGGTGGTGATATTTCCATTTTCAGGAGACTGAGGCTCACAGAGGTTAAGTAACTTGTCCAAAGTTTACACATCATCAAGAATCAGAGTTGGAGCAAATCAGATCCAAACTTCAAAACTGTTTTGTTCCTAATTGGAAACAAAATAGAGCAGTTTGTTTAGCTGGTCCTCTGAGTTCTCCTTTCCTATGTACAGAATTTGTTTAATCAGGTTCAAGTGACCTGAACAGGTGAACATAAGTTCTAAAGGCCTCTGTAACTGAGGGACTGGGAATAGATGGCAGCAATGAGGAAAGTGTTTATAGCCAAGTAGTTTAAAGCAGCAGGTTAGGGGAATAATAGCTTGAGTGAGTAAATGAGTAAGTAAAGAAGTCACTGATACTTCTTCTGTGGTCTTATTTAAAATTTTAAGTTTTATTGAGATAAGTTTAACATACCACAGAACTCACCTACATAAAGCATAGTTTGTTGATTCCTGCCATCTTCTGCAGTGGTTGCTTCTTATTCTCTCTGGATCTGGAATGGGGTCAGTGCATTCTAGGGATGAGGAAAAGTCGATGGACCTGGCCATCAATGGACCTGGTGGATAATAACGAGAATAATGGAGATGTGTGCCCTGGTGGACTCAGCTGGCTTTGGAGTCCCCATAAGAATTAATTCGTAGCTAGGGCATGGTGGCACGTGCTTGTAGTCCCGGCTACTCAGGAGACTGAAACGGGAGAATTGCTTGAGCCCAGGAGTTCAAGACCGTGCTGTGATCACATCTGTGAATAGCTCCAGCCTGGGCAATATAGCGAAACTTGTCTGTTAAAAAAAAACAAAAGTCTAGTGCAGCTCCTGATGGATCTAGATACTCTGGACTTTGCCCTTGCCCTTCTTCTTCTCCCCTCCCCCTCACAGATACACAACCACTACCACCATCACAATTGTAGCTAATTGTAAATGGGTTTTCATGTTCCTTTCCTGAGTTTTTTGGATATTGGCCCCATTTAAGTCAGGCTGCTCCTAGCCTTGGCCTAGTATTGTAGGACTGACTCTTAGCAATATTGGAAAGACTCCTAGCTTTTTGCCTTTGTGCCATAGTGGCTTCACTGGTAGTTCCATTCTCTGTGTGCTTCTCTCTTACTCCCATATCTTTCCTCTACTCAGTTGTTTTGGGAAACAGTCCCTCATTTTGGCCGTTTTGAGGTATAGGAACTGATAAATCTAGAATCTCAGGGTTGGAAGAAGTCAGTTTATTAGGCTTTCCCTTCTCCTGGTGACACCTAGATGTAGGAGGTAAGAATGTGGCTTGTGTATCTCAGTCAGTAGTACCCAGTAGTCCCCAGTTAGATGTGTGTTTCTGGGCTGAAGGTAAAGATTTCTGAGACTTCAGCCATGGTAGTAGATGAGATTGTTGGGAGAATGTGCATAGTAAGCAGAGGTTGAAGATATAACTTAGAGAAACTGGAAAGTTAATAAAATCCTTAGCCGGGCTCGGTGGCTCAACCTGTAATCCCACGCCTTTGGGAGGCTGAGGTGTGTGGAATGCCTGAGCCCGCGGGTTCGAGACCCGCCTGGGCAACTTGGCGAGACCTCATCTCTACAATAAATCAAAAAAAATTAGCCGGGTGTGGTAGCGCCCGCCTGTAGTTCCAGCTTCTTGGAAGGCTGAGGCGGAAAGATCACCAGAGCCCAGCAGGTCGAGGCTGCGGTGGACGGGAGCGGCCACTGTCCTCCAGTCTGGGCGACAGAGTGAGACTCCAACTCAATAAATAAATAAATAAATAACATAAAATAAAACCTTTAAGTCCATATGAGGGGATAGGATATAAAGCACCAAGAAAGGGCATCCTTTTTACTGAGAAAGGGGTGGGGGAAACATGAAGGCTGTTGTGGTATTAGAGAAACTGGTAGTTGGGGGTGGATGTCCTAGGTGCAACCCCCAGAATTGTTCTTTTGGCTAAAGAGGCCCCATTACTTCAGCTATATCACCTTTAGGACAGGATTACAAGAGTTTCCCATCCTAGACATCTCACAACACTTTGTGGCCCCCATCACTGGACAGTATTCCAAGTGTGGTCTAGTAGAGAGATTGGAAATACCACTTTCCTTGAAGTAGAGACCCACTATTAATGAAATCTGGTAACACTGGCTTTTTTAGTAACTGCACTGCAGTTGTATACAAGGCAGATAAATCAAAAAAATATAATTAGTGAACTAACTATTAAAAGTCTAGCTGTACTAGGCTTATTCTATCATTAATGAGTCTTGCTTTTATTTACATGAAACAGTGGTTACATTGCATTTTTTATTCTAATATTAAATTGAAAATATGTCTTAAACTAATGTGCAGAATAATATAGTAGACACCCACACATCCATCATCCAGTTTTATCATATTTACTTTATCCTTTTTCTTTGAGTTGGAGTCTCACTCTGTCACCCAGGCTGGAGTGCATTGGCATGTTCACGGCCACCTCAGCATTAACTTGCTGAACTCAGGCAATCCTTCCACCTCAGCCTTCTAAGAATCTGGAACTACAAGTGTGTACCACCACACCTGGCTAATTTTTTCGACTTACTGTAGAGACGAGGTCTTGCCAAGTTGCCCAGACTGGTCTTGAATCCCAGGCTTGGGCAATCCTCTCACCTCGGCCTCCCAAAGTGGTAGGATTACAGGCTTGAGCCACCATGCCCAGCCTTATCCTTTTTTCAAATATGAAAAATTACAGATAAATTTGATGTTCCTTTATATCCCGCTCTTATAGTCCCATTTTTCCCTTCTGATGCAACCACTGTCTTGAATTAATGTGACCTTTCTATCCAGTTTATTTGTTTTATATGCTTATATATATGTGTGTGTGTGTGTGTATATATATGTATGTATGTGTATATATGTATATATGTATGTATGTGTATATATGTATCTATATATATACACATACTTTAAAATTTTATATAACAGTATCTATTATGCTGTATTAATCTTTCTCATGTATTTTTACTAAGTAAATGAAAAAATACTTTCTCACTAAACTATCATGGACATTTATATGCTATATAATAGCATCTCCTGAATAATTGATTTCCTTCTCTGTACATTTTTTTTTTTAATTAAGATGCAAGATTATCAAATTAAATTTCCTCCTGCTTTTTTGGTCTGTCAGTATATTTATGTAGCTTGATTTTTGTACTCTACTACATGTGTACCCTCTCTTCTAATGTTGTCTTCCTTTCTCAGGCTAAAGCCCTAAAGTCAAAGGAAGGAAGCTTGTGTCAAGATTGGCTGTTAGGTTTCAAAGAACCAGTTGGGGAGGAGGGAGTTCATTTTTACTGAGCATCTCCTGTGCTCCCATCACTATTGGAACCTCGTTTGTTGTTAATAAAAAGACCTTACACTTGCGCATCTGCCTGTATCTTTAGGCATGTAGTAGAGCACAGGAATCAACTGCTTGAGTAGGGCACGGTGGGAAGCCTGAGAATTCCTATAGGTCCCTTTTCTGGGCTCTTTCCTCTCTTTGCTTGTACCATTGAACACTTAGCAAGCTCTGTCTTGTCTTACTGAACTATAAATGTATTTTTTTACATTAGCTGTGCTTGTGTCTCATTCATATTAGAATCTCTCAGTGCCTTTTACAGTGCTGAGCACCAAGGTGAAGACATTTGGTTAGAGGTATTCAGATGGAACTTACTGTCTCCTGTCATGACCATGTTTGTGCTACAGGAACTTCACAGATCAGCTGCGGAAGATTTCCAAGGATGCAGGGATGCCTATCCAGGGTCAACCTTGTTTCTGCAAATATGCACAGGGGGCAGACAGCGTGGAGCCCATGTTCCGGCATCTCAAGAACACCTACTCAGGACTACAGCTCATTATTGTCATCCTGCCAGGGAAGACGCCAGTGTATGGTACAGTTCCCTTAGGATGATGATAATGATGATGGGACTCAGGGTAGTTCTCGAGGGGGGCTCCTAGAGAAGACTCAGTCTTGATTCTGGCCAAGCGCTGTTCCTTAATGTCAATGCTCCTCTCATAGGAGAAATATCAACTTCTATAAGCCATTGAGTGATCCCAGATCCTACTTACCTGCTCACACTCCCTCCAGTAACGTTTACTGGGGTCCTCTCTGTGCTAGTCTTTTTTCCAGGTTAAGCTGGGCCAGACACAGAGATGGGTCAGTCCGGATACCTATTCTTAAGAGTGTGTTGTTTATCCAACGTCATGCAGCACACTCAAGGGGCATGTGTGGTGATTCTTCTAGTATTCCATTGCTTGGGAATTACTTGAAAATTTTGAGAGGCTGTCTCTTTCCTCTTTTCCTCTTTTTTAGACTAGGAATGACTATATAAGTCTCTGACTTAGTGCTTCTTTCTTACTCCATTTTCCCTCTTACATCTCCTGCTTCAAAGGAAGATACATGCCTCTTTCTTTTCTCAACTCTTCTGTGTTCTTGTTTTCAGCCCCTCAAACCTGTGGGACTTCATACCTTTTGACCTTCAAATATATTTAGATTCCCCATAGTGCACATTACCACAATCTTACCATCTTCTTTAGCTTTTGTCTTCCTATTTTCTTCATCAAACCTTTTGAAAGAGTACTCTATATTCTCTATGCCTACTACCTCACTATACACTTACTCCTTAGCTGCTTTCATCTGTCTTGCCTTCTGTGTACTCTTCTCGTGAGTCTCCTCTGCAAAGGGTCACCAGTGGCCTTTCTCAGTTGTCCTCTTTCCATGACTTTTGGATATTTTCTTCTGATTCTCCTTAACTCATAAAAATAAGTTAATCATTACCATGAATGCCTAGTATTCTCCAGGTTTGTGTTTTCTGCCTTCTCTTTCTGTTTGTACATTTTATTACAATTCTCATTCATTTCAGTTGCTTCAGCCATCACCTATTGTTATTTTATGTTACATTATTAAAATCTTGATCTCGCCCTTGAACCCTCTACAGCTTCCATCTGTTCCTTTGGCCTCTCTCCTTTCTGCAAGAATTATTGATCACCTATTATGTGTGTAACACTGTGCAACATCCTGGATACATTGGTGAATAAAGCAGGTATCATCTCTGTCCTTAGTGTTTTGTTGGACCATTTCTTCAGTAGCTTGTCTTCTCTATCAACTCTTCTCTCCTTTCTTCTTTATGGGCATCACATTTGCTTCTGAGTACCTTCATTCAAACTTTGGAGGCTGTCTGCCTTCTCTTTGCTTCATATCTTAGTGCTTTTTTTCACAGTCCTCAAAATATATTCTCTGTTCTCCAGCTACACTTCTTAGCCTAGATCTAACCTTCCTTCTCAAGTTTTTCTTGAATAAGTTACCAAGTAAGACTTACTGTGACTGTACTGTCTATCAAAGAAACCTTTTTTTTTTTTTTTTTTTTGAGTTGGAGTCTCACTTGGTCGCCAAGACTGGAGTGCAGTGGCCGCTCCCGGCCACCGCAGCCTCAACCTGCTGTGCTCCGGCAATCCTTCTGCTTCAGCCTTTCGAGTAGCCGGAATTATAGGCATGCGCTACCACGCCCGGCTGATTTTTTTATTTATTGTAGAGATGAGGTCTCGCTGCCCAGGCAGGTCTCGAACCCGCAGGCTCAGGCAATCCACTCACCTCAGCCTCCCAAAGACGCGGGATTACAGGCTGAACCACTGAGCCCAGCTCAAAGAAACCTTTATTGGTTCCCATTAATTACTGCATAAAGGGTTTAGTATGGTCCTGATCCTAATTGAGAATTTTCACCTTTACCTTGTACTGTTCACTTGCCACACATACTAGAAAGATCACTGATTCTGGAATTGATCAGAACTGAATTTAATACTGGCTATACCAGTCAACTGGCTTGGGCAAATTATGTAACCTTTCTGAGCCTCATGAATTAATTATATAAAAAGCAAGAGTCTAGTATAGTGCCTGGCACACAGGTGACAGTCTAAGTGCTCACTTCTTATCTATGCTTTCCAATCTCTAGTTTTGCTCACCTTATTTGCCTTTGCCTAGAATATTTGAATACTTTTCTTCTGTCCCCCACCTTGTCCTTGAAATTCTCTCCATTCTTTAAAACCCAATTTAAGTGCTACTTATTTCTTATTCTTGTCACCCCACCTGGAGTATGAATTTGTTTCTTTCTGGATTCCTCTAGTTTATCAGGCCATCATTGATCAATTACTACTTTGCTTGATATTTTGAACATGGAGTAGATCTGATTCTGCTCTAAAACTTTCCCTATGTACATACACACTTAAGGTAGTGACTTCCACTGATATGATTGATATTTAGTAATTTCTTATGGAAGGCAGTTGGTTGATCTTCAATCCATGTCTCTCTTGGGCCCTTTTATAAACAATAAGGAGGCTTTTAAAGCTTTTTTGAATACGTATCTTTATTTCTGGTTTTCTTCCTTAAAGGAAGAATCCAGTATTTGGGCTTGAGATTATAGTACACCATGCTTGGGGAAGGCAGTACTACTCAGAATTTCTCTTCCCTGAACTCCATAATGTTACACTTCTCTCTAGCCTTTTACCTTTATTGGGGCCTCAGTTTTCTTTCATTTACATGCAGCTCCTTGATTATACACCTGGACAATGGGTCATCTTCCTAGGAATTAAGCCAGTAGACAAGAGAAGCAGTCAGAGCTTCTAAAGGCCCTTCACTCTCCCTCTTGGAGGCTGGGTGAAATGGCATTCTCCCTTGATGGTCATATCAAGATCCCATTGGTATTTGGTTGCCCTGAAAATGTAGAGAGTGTAGGACAGTGTCACATTTGTCTAGTTCAGGTCTGGTACCATGCCTGTCCTGTCTTTAGTATCTTTAACTCCTTCCTTTCCACTAAATTGATACTGTAGACTTTTTTCATGTAAACTTTTTATTGAATCACACATATAGAAATTGTACATGTTTAGCTCAGTGATGTTCATATAGTGTCACAACAGTGTAACCAGCGCCCAGTTCAGATAGTAGAATGTTACCACACCCCAGGTCACTGCAACCTCTTACCATTGGAAACCACTATCCTGGTTTCTAAAACTACTAGATTAGTTTTGCCTGTTTTTGGAATCATACAGTATATGCTTTCTTGTTGTCTAGCTTCTTTCATGCAACATTTAATTTGTGAGATTCATCAATGTTATGTCTAGTCATAGTTTGTTAACAATTTTTCCATTATATGAATATAACACAATTTACATGTATTTACCCATTTTATTGTTAATACAAATATTTGGATTGTTTTCAGTTTTTGACTATTGCAAATAATGCTTCAGTGAACACTCTGGTACATGTCCTTTGAACATACGTACCAATTTCTGTTGGATATGTAGGAGTAGATTTTAAGTATACTAATTTACACTTTCACCAGCAGTGAATAAGAGTACTAGATAGTTCACATTCTTACCAAGCTTGGTATTGTCTTTTTAATTTTAGTAATTCCTGTGTATTTTTAGTAATATTCTTGCATTGTTCTTTTAATTTGATTTCTCTGATGACTGATAAAGTTGAGTATATTTTTATATGTCTGTTGGTTACTTTATTAGCCTCTTTTTGTAAACTGTCTGCTCAACTCTTCCTTTTTTTTTTGAGTTGGAGTCTCACTCTGTCGCCCAGACTGGAGTGCAGTGGCCGCTCCCGGCCACCGCAGCCTAGACCTGCTGGGCTCCGGAGATCCTTCCGTCTCAGCCTTCCAAGTAGCTGGAATTACAGGCATGCACTACCATGCCCGGCTGATTTTTTTTTTTTACTTATTGTAGAGATGAGGTCTCGCTGCCCAGCTGGGTCTCGAATCCGCGGGCTCAGGCAATCCACTCACCTCAGCCTCCCAAAGGCGTGGGATTACAGGCTGAGCCACCAAGCCCGGCTAACTCTTCCTTTTTTTAACTAACTTTATTGCCTTTTCCTTATTGACTTACAGATGTTCTTTATAATTCCTTTGTTGTGTATTTGTTGTATTACACATATCTCCTCTGCTCTGTGACTTGCCTTTTTTCTTTTCTTTTTTTTTGACTCAGAGTCACCACAGCCTCAACCTGCTGGGCTCAGGCAGTCCATCTGCCCTAGCCTTCCAAATAGCTGGAACTACGCCACCACACCCAGCTAATTTTTTGATTTATTGTGGAGATGAGGTCTCACCAAATTGCCCAGGCTGGTCTCAAACCTGTAGGCTCAGGCAATCTTACCTCAGCCCCTCAAGGTGCTGGGATTATAGGTGTGAGCCACGGCACCCAGCCAATTTACCTTTTTTCTTTCTTATGGTGTCTTTTGTTGTATAGAACTTTTCAATTTTAATGAAGTCCAATTTATCAATATTTTGGTTAGTACTTTTTGAACCCCTGGCCTCAAGCAGTTCTCCCACCTCAGACTCTCGAAGTGTTGGGATTACAGACATGAGCCAAACTAATCTATCTCTAAACAGAACAAAAACTCTGTTGCCTGTCTGCTGGTAGTGATCCCTCTGCTAGTGCAGAGCTTGGAATCTCATCCCTCCTACCTATACGTAGAATCAGCCAATATACCCAGAAGATAGCTTACCCCTGAGAATTGTTTCTCCCTCTTTGGAATTTTAGTCCCTCTAGTTCTTGTTGTCCCAGCTCCTCTCTGCTGCCTTTTAAAAGGTGATTTTCGTATTTTATCTGTCTGCAGAACTGGCTTCCCACTAACTATTCCATCTTTGTTGAAAAGTGGAAATGAGCTTTTAAAACATGCTTAAATCTCTTCCATTGAAAACATACCAACTCTTCAGCAATTCTACATTTTCTCCATTGTATTTTATATAATAAAAACAGTTACTGCTCCCACACTAATTTTTTTAAAATCTCAATATCACTAATTCTAAAGGAAATTTCTGGTCCTCATTTACTTGCTCTCTTAGCCACATTTGACTTTATTGACCACTTGCTCTTTATTGAAACACTCTTTCTTCCCTTGACAATCATGATGCAACATTGTCTTGGTCTTCCTTCTAGGTTTGTCTCCTTTGCAGACTCGTCTTCTTCCTGTTCTACAAATACTGGGAATTCCACAAGATTCAGCTCTAAGCTCTAGTCTCTTTTCACTTTGTTATCTTCCTTGGTGATCTCATCAAGATTATGCCTTTAATACCTATACCTAAGTATCACACAAATTTGTATCTCTGTTTTGGACTAATCTTGGATGATATAGCATCCAACCACTATACCCATTTGCCTAGTTAATATCCTTACTGGGATGAACACAAAGTCTATCAAATGCAAAAAGTCTCAAAAAGAATTTATAATCTATTTCTGTTACAAAACTAGAAACTTAAAAGTTACCCATAAAAATCCTCTTTTCCCTTATTCATGGATCTAGTGTATAAGCGACTCCCTTAAATATCTTTTGAATCCATTTGTTTCTCTCCATTTCAATACCTCAGCTGCATTCTCAATCTAAACTATCCTTATCTCTTCCATAGATTAACCAAATGACTACATTCCTTCTCTCACAACATGCTCCCCTTGCTTTTCGCTTAATTACTATGACCTTTCAATTTATCAAATGTATCTTGCTATCTTCTAGCAGCATGCATTTTTGCCTACTCTTCCTTCTGCCAGGATTGCTCTTTCACAAATTCCCCCTCTCCTCTAAGTCCTTAGCTGCCTTCAGATTTCAGTTCAATCATTACTTACTCAGAATTACCCCATTGTATGCTTTCATTGCTCCATGAAGTTTTCTGTTGTAGCATTTATCAGTGTTATAATTTTCATGATTTTTTAAATGATTAGTAGTAAGAGCTATAAGAGTAGAGACCTTGTATATTTCCTTTCATCGTTATGTTCCCTTCACCTCATATACTGCCTGGCATCTGGTAGGCATTCAGTAAATATTGGTTGAATGCACTAATCAGTTCTCTCCCTGCCCATAGCTGAGGTGAAACGTGTTGGAGATACACTCTTGGGAATGGCTACACAGTGTGTGCAGGTGAAGAACGTGGTCAAGACCTCACCTCAGACTCTGTCCAACCTCTGCCTCAAGATCAATGTCAAACTTGGTGGCATTAACAACATCCTAGTCCCACACCAGCGGTATGAACCCTGTTGTCTACTTGCCCTTGTCAAGGTACCATTCTGGGGATTGATGGAGAGACAGGACCTTGGCCAGGCAGAGTGAATCAAACACTAGGGGGAGAAGTCCAGAGTGGGTATTGGATGGTGCCAGCCAGAAAAGACCCAACTCCTTACCGTCTTTTTTTTTCTCTTTGCTCAGCTCCGCCGTATTTCAACAGCCAGTGATATTCCTGGGAGCAGATGTTACACACCCCCCAGCAGGGGATGGGAAAAAACCTTCTATCACAGCAGTGAGTGATACTCTAGCTTCCTCCTAAGGTCCTCCTCTTAGCTCTAAGTCCCCCAGACTGCCCACGTTATTTCCTTCCCTCAGCTGACTCTTGACCCTTCATAAGTTCTTCTCCATTTAGCTCACTATCCCCATTCCTCACTCCCTTATATCTTCATAAAGGTAGCTCTATATGTAATCTTTTTTTCTGGGAGAGTAGTGGAAGTGTAGCCATCTTCATCACTCTTGCTCTGCATTCAAATTTCTCTCTCTGCCTGCTTGTGGAATTTAGGGGAGTTATTATATCTCTTCTCTAAAATCCCTTTAATGGGAGTTACTTAGTTGCTGGGAGTGTCCTTTCCTCTGCCCCACCCCTGCCCCAGATCCGTCTAGTAGATTAGATGTTTCTCTAATCTCTCTCCTGACTGTTCTACTCCCTGTGTCTTAGGGGCTTTCACATTGCTAGAGTTCAGGCCTTCCTTCCCTCTTGTTTTTCCTCAACCCTCACATTTATGTAGGCAGACTGGTCTTATTTCAGTAAGTACAGGGAAATCCTATAATATGCTTATCCCTGTTTTTCTTGTGGCGATCCTTCCTAGGCTCTGGCCACTGTCCCCTTTGTAAATGACATTACTTTCATCAGCCAAAAGAACGCTGTCACCATGGTCATGGTTCCTGAGTAGATTAGCACTTGAATGGGAAAAAGGATATACTTGTGACTGGATGAGGTCATTGTTTGATCTCGTAGTACTAGAGCTTCTCATGCCTCTCTGCAAAGGGCAGGGAAATAAAATTTACCAAGTACCTACCCTGTGCAAGATGCTTTATGTGTACCACCACAACAGCACTATAAGCAAGTATTCTTATCTCCATCTGAGGAGACAAAAAAGATCAGATGGATTAAGGTAACTTCTACATGCCTAATAGAACAGAGATTGAAACTAGGGTTCTTGTTAAATCTCAAGCCCTACTCATTCAATTGCACACTTTTTTTTGCTAAGAAACCTTTCCCCACACTTGCAGACTGATAGTGAGGAAGGGTGAAGGTTCTAGTGGCTGATCCTTTCTCTCTGACTGTCAGGTGGTAGGCAGTATGGATGCCCACCCCAGCCGATACTGTGCTACTGTGCGGGTGCAGCGACCACGGCAAGAGATCATTGAAGACTTGTCCTACATGGTGCGTGAGCTGCTGATCCAATTCTACAAGTCTACTCGCTTCAAGCCTACCCGCATCATCTTCTACCGAGATGGGGTCCCTGAAGGCCAGCTACCCCAGGTAGGGCCCATAGTAGGTGGAGAAAACCCTCACATAGAGGCCAGAGGGCTAGGCACTACTACTTTTTCTAAGCTGTTGGTACTGGGAGGTGTGCTTTTTCTCAAGGAGCTTTGCTAAATGGGGTAGGCTTGAGGGCAGGGATCACAACTGAGGAGTAGAGTGCACGCATCTGTAGACTTTTTTTCTTGTAACAGAAGGCCCTCGGTGCCTTCTCAGTAGTTGATTCATGTTAAAGACTGATTGTTTAGACCTGTGGTTCGCAGAGGGTTTGTTAAAATAGTTTGCAGATGTCTACCCTTAGAGTTTCTGATGGTGAGTTTTGTATATGGGCATAGAATTTGCAATTCTGACAAGTTCCTAGGCAATGCTGCTGGCCTGAAGTCTCTTTGAGGATCACTGCTGTTGACCTTCCTTCATGATGTTCTTCCTGTTCATTCTCACTGCCAAGCCTTCATAATCTGTTGTTCAGACTTCTATACTGAACCATTATAATACAATTTAATAGCATTATAACTACTGTTTATTGGACACTTCTTATGTGCCATGAACTGTGCTAAGTACTTCACATACTCGTATGTTCTATTTAATGCTTTACAATGCCCTATGAAATAATAATCTCATTTGACACATGAGAAAACTGGGACTTGGAGTTGTTGTATGACTCTTCAATGTCACCCAAGCTAATAGGGGTGGAAATGGGATTCAGATACATTGGTCTGATTCCAAAGTTCATGCTCTTACCATTATGCTCAATTTTCTCTAAGTCATCCAGTATTTCCTAAAATACCAGACAAATTAGTCATATTACTTCTTTATTCAGAAATATCTAGTGACTTCACGTAAGCTTTGGGTTAAAATTCAAACTGCTTAGGTTTTCTATGCTTTTACTTACCCTAGTCTTTACAACAGGTTTGTGGGGCCGGTCTTAGTAACGTTAATAGATGTGGAGAAAATGAGACTTAGAGATGTTAAATAACTTGCTCAAGGTATTACAACTAGATAAAGCTTAGGTTTAAACCTAGTTATAGTTAATTTCAAAGTCTTTCCTTTTCTACCATAAAGTTGTGACTTCCTGTGTTCAACATCCATGCCACAGGCAACTATTGCCTATAATTATTTACCTGTGGCTTCTTCTTTAGCTAGTCCATTTTTTAAATAATCCTGCCTCTTTTAGGACTGAATTCACCTATTCCCTCTGCGCCCATTCCAGAACTCTATATCTGTTCTTCTCTGGTGGTCCAAATCCTATCTGCTCTTGGAGTCCATATGAGAACTTTCATTAACACTTTGATCCTGAAATTGAGCTAACTTCGGGCATTATGATTTTAGTGATTTCTCTGTGAACCTTGGTTCTGTGTCTTGATCTTAGGTCTCTTTATGCATAGGAACCAGGTGAGTGCTCTCTTCTGATGCCAAGCCTTCCAGCCAAGGTTTTATAGGAACATACCAGGTGAACTTAGTATAAGGGTGATAGGAAGGGCCTATCATCTCTAATTATTGGGCATCAGCTTATAAAGGGATACTGAACCAAGAGTCACATTGCAAGTGGCAACCCCTTAGTTCAGAAAGGCATCTCAGATCAAGAGGAACCTTGTATCTCTTTGTCTCCCTCCTCATCCTATGCCTAGATCCTCCACTATGAACTACTGGCCATTCGTGATGCCTGCATCAAACTGGAAAAGGACTACCAGCCTGGGATCACTTATATTGTGGTGCAGAAACGCCATCACACCCGTCTTTTTTGTGCTGACAAGAATGAGCGAGTGAGTGAGGGACTGAGGAGGCCTCCCGTACCCTCATTCTATCTCCCTTATCTTGATAGGGAAGAAGCCCTTGAAGTAAGGTCTGGGGATTTAGTCCTTGTTCTATCCATCCTCCCTGGCCCCTTCCTTCCCCCTAGCCTTGAGGTCCTTCCTCTGCCGCCTCCTTTCCTTAGTGTCCCCTCCTCCCCTCCTTCCCTTGTTCTTCCTCTCCCTCCTCCTAGCTCCCTGGCCTAGACCCCATATATAGACCAGCTCCCAGAGAAGGGAAAGGAACTACCATTTAATGAACTTCTATGTGCCAAACACTGTACAAGGCGTCTTCCTCACAGCAGCTCTGTGAGGTAGGTACTATTATTATCTCCAGTTAACCTCAGAGAGGTTAAATGACTTGCTCAGAGAGGTTAAATGACTTGCTAAGAACACACAGCTAATAAATGGCAAAACCAGGACTTGAACACAGGTCTGTATGAATTTAGAAGCCTATTGTTTTAAGACCTGTTACCATCTGGGAACAACTTTTGCTTTGTTCTTGGGATCTGGTAAAAATCAAAGTAGAATTGAGGTAGGGCCAAACAGGTCTTGGGATCTTGGTTGTATTTGTCTCTATACAGATCGGGAAGAGTGGTAACATCCCCGCTGGCACTACTGTGGACACCAACATCACCCACCCATTTGAGTTTGACTTCTATCTGTGCAGCCACGCAGGCATCCAGGTAGCTGGGCTATGTCCTGGGGTTCCAATGGGTCAAAGATTAGATGTTTATTCCCACTGCCTGTAGAATGTAGCAGTCAGCACTGAGTGGCATTCAAATCAGGATTGCTCTCTTAATAAGCCCTGAGTACACTTGCACATTGCCAAGGATGCTGTAAGGTGGCTCTGTGTCTGCCTATTCATGGGTGGGCTATCCACCCAGCCATATTCTTAACAGTGGTCCTGTTCCTTGTCATCAGCCAGCCCCTCTGCCCATCCTGGGGCTCCTTACCTTCCTATCTTCCCAGGGTACCAGCCGACCATCCCATTACTATGTCCTTTGGGATGACAACCGTTTCACAGCGGATGAGCTCCAGATCTTGACGTACCAGCTGTGCCACACTTACGTACGATGCACACGCTCCGTCTCTATCCCAGCACCTGCCTACTATGCCCGCCTGGTGGCTTTCCGGGCACGATACCACCTGGTGGACAAAGAACATGACAGGTGAGGCCTGGAATCAGACTGGCTTCCTTTTTGTTTCAGCCTCTTGTACCAGACCCTCTTGACTTTCCTTGGGTAAAAAATTTGTGTCATTGGGCTTACATGCCCAATCCTGGGTTGAAGTTTTCTTTTAAGTTGGTGTGGGAATTGGCACCCTAGGACTGGGTGAGGGAATTAGCAGCAGCTCAGTTCACCAGGAAGGACTTTTTTTCATTTTTTCCTTTTCAGTGGAGAGGGGAGCCACATATCGGGGCAGAGCAATGGGCGGGACCCCCAGGCCCTGGCCAAAGCCGTGCAGGTTCACCAGGATACTCTGCGCACCATGTACTTCGCTTGAAGGCAGAACGCTGTTACCTCACTGGATAGAAGAAAGCTTTCCAAGCCCCAGGAGCTGTGCCACCCAAATCCAGAGGAAGCAAGGAGGGAGGTGGGGTAGGGAGGAGTGCAGGAGGCCTTGTTTCCCTCTATAGAGGCGGTGTAAAGGTGGGGAACAGGGTCAGCAAAACAGACCACCAGCCAGAAATCTCTGATATCAACCTCATGTCCCCACCCTTTACCCCATCTTGTCACATTTGGCCCTGACCCCACTGGACCAAGAGGGGCAGCATTGGTGCCCACCATACACACAGGTGTCTCATGTGACTCACAGTGCTAAAGACTCATGCTTGACAGCTTGGTAAGGTTGGCTCTGTAGCCCTGCGGACAAAAGCTGGTAGGTTTGGGTTTACTACTTTAGATGGGAAAGTGAGGGGCTTGAGAAAGTGGGTGGGAGGAGGGAAAGATTTTTTTAGGAGCCTTAATCAGAAAAGGACTAGATTTGTTTAAGAAGAATAATGAAACCAGACCCAGATCAATATTTTAGGATACTAGATGTTTTAATGGGTTCCAAATCCAGTTTGTAGGAAGACTTTTTAATGGTTTTGGTTGCTCCTCCCCCAGCTGCCACCCCCTCCCCCTGCCCTTATTCCTCTCTCTCCACATTTTCTACCCCACTTTACACCTCCTCCCTGGCAGACATCCAGCCCCTAGTAATACTTAAGGCACTATGGCACTTAGCTATGAAGTGACATGACCCTGTCTTCCTTCCGCCTGCTGGTGGGTAACCAGTGCCTTCCCTGTAATGGTAATGCTGCAGAACTGCAACCTTTTGTACCTTTCTTTGGGGGATGGGACGGGGTGGGGTGGGAGAGAAGGTAGGTGGTGAAGAAATACCCCAAACCCAACAAACCTCCAGCCAGAATGCCAGCTATTTTGCATTTGAAGGACTTGATTTCCACTTTCATTGAGCTTTTTAAAAGATCACAACCTCAAGATGGTTAAAATCCATTGACATTTGCACTTTCAGACATGACAAGTCACGGAGCTGCTGAGATGACTGGCCCCTGGCCTTTCCACTTATGCCTCCTTTTCTCCTGTTCCTCCCACCTCCCACCCGGCCTGGGTCTGGAGTTACTTTTGTAGCAGTTCTCTTGACTTCTTTTTATCCCTGATGGTCAAGTCTCATTATGTTTTAATATCTATTAACTGGGTCTTATAACAGAAGACCCTTAGGTCTAAAATGAGAAAAAAGAGAGAAAACAAAATATTATTTTTATACCATAACTTGAGTCTATTGCCAAAATTTGGAAATCCTTTCCATGCCTGATGAGTTTATATCCCAGAACATTGAGCCATCAGAAGGAACTGTGTACCTGACTTGTTCTCTGGCCTGGCTAGGTAGGGGGTGGTTGTCTCCCCAAGGTGGGGCTCAGGCTCCATCCTTCCTCTGCAGATAACACCTTTTTCTTGCTACAGCCTCCCTCTACACTATCCTGCACTCTTTCTTGCAAGTGTATCTTTTTCCTTCCTCTAGACTATCTTCTGACCCTTTGGCTCATCCTGGATTCCAGTGTGTCCTGTGGACAGGCTGGGGAATTTTGCTGCTCCCTATTGTTCTTAATGCTTCTGTTTATACAAATGAATTTTACCTGGTTTCCCACTAAGGCATGTGAGTGGGTGGCATGGACTTTCTTTTTCTTTTTTTTCTTTTTTTTGGTCTTGAAATACGGGGTTTGGCTGTCTTGCAGGACTAGAGAAGAAGGTGGTTCAAGCTTGGTCCCTGCTGGCCTTGAGGCAAGGCCCCCTGTTTCCTTGACTGTTCATTTTGTTCCTACCCCACTGCTTGGAATGGGGAGTTGCAAATTCAACTTCTCTTTGAGGAGCCTGGGCTTGGGTTTGCCCCAATCTGGTGATGAAGCCATGATACTTTAGACCTAGCCCAGGCTTGGAGATCAGCCAGAGGAGGAAGGGTCTAATCCTGGCCCACAGAATTAGAGCTACCCTTTCCTTTCCCCAGGAGCTCTTGTATGACTCAGATTTGCTATGCAAAATAATCTATCACAGGTTCTGTTCTGGTTGGCTACATTGTTCAGCAACTTCACAAAACGTAGCACAAACATTCATTATGGAGAAAGCATCAGGACTGTTGAGTAACTCCTTTACTTTTTTCCTGCTGGCTACAGTGTGGGGTGCCCTATAGGCACAAGCCCAGCTGAAGAACAGAATGGAGGGCTCTGGAGGAGGCAGCTCATGGAGAGCCTACATTCCTTACACAAGTGCCTAAAGAGAGTGATGCCAACACTCCATCTGCCCTGTCCATTGCCTTCATATACAGTCTACTTCGTGTTCTGTTACCCTTTGGGGAGGGGAGCTCTCCTGGGACAATGGGCTCTGCATGTTCTCTACTTGGGTACATTTTGGGGCTGGGATTGAGGCACCATTCCTGGAGGGTCCAGTCATTCACCAGCATTTGCAAGTGTTCATAGGGAGCCGGTGGCAACCACTACTCCCAGCAACAAGCTTATGTTCTCTCCTTTTCTCTCTCTGCCTCAGTCTTCTGTTGGTTTTCAGCTGTGGCTTGAAGTGCATTTTTAGCCCTTGGGCATTGCACATGCTATTCAAGAAGTAAAAGCAAGAGAAGCAGCTTGGGGGGGTGACAAGAAAGTGACTTATTGCTCTAAAAAAAAAATTGTTTTTTGAGGCTTGAAATATCCTCCCGACCTTGAGAATTATTCTTGTTTGAAAAGTGGTGCATGCAGATTGAGAAGTGGTGTTGGCAGCAAGCTTTGGCTTGCATGGATTTGGTTTAAGTGGTGCTTCATATCCAAGCTTCGAATAAATGCTCGGGGAAACCCAGCCTCATCCTCTTAAACAGGACTCTTGCTCCCTTCATACCACTATTTTGCCTTCCTTTTCCTCTTCTCTCTTTCCTTGGCTTCCTTTCCCTTTTTTCTACTCACTCTGCTTGCTTGCTGGCTTGCCTGCCTGTCTGCCTATGTGATGATGAAATCTCTGCATGGCTGTAATGATGCTACTTAGCTGGCAAGGTCAAACTTCGCTTCTTGACTGCAGAAGACCAAGAACCTATTTCCCATGCCCAGAGATGTCTACCCTGGGCTGGACTGCCCTTGTACTAGGGTAGAGCAGCAGGCCTGTCCAACTGACGTGAAATCAGAAGGGCTTCTGGCAGCTTCCACATCTGTCCACTCTTTGGAGCTGGTTTCTCTCGTTGCTTTTTCTAGATCTGGTTTTTTCTTTACCTGGGGCCTCCTTTTTCTGAGGTTGTCTTAGGGATGGATGACCTACTTAGGGTTGAAGTGTTAGGGGATGGACATAGGGGAAGAAGAGAGTGATGAGAGGAGAAGGGAATTTGTGTGAAAGGTGGGGAAGGAGAGCACTGCTCTTGGTTTGTCCAGCCTGACCCATTAGGGGCTGAGGTGCTACTACTGGTCTCTAGGGATATGCCTAGGCTATTGTTGCTGGGAATTTAGGCTTAAAATAAGGCTGAAGAAGGTATCTAGAAGTGTGAAACCTCCTTAAAAACCACCTGGTTCCCACCTACTAGATAGCATCTCTGTGGCCTCTTTGGCTAAACAATGTTCTTGGATACTTTTCCTTTTCTGTCCAGAATTCTATGAATGAGGCCAGCACTCAAGATGGGCAGCCAAGAAAGCATTGACTTAGTAGCTGGCCTGTGGGATATTTGCAAGGTTGGTGGGACAGTGTTTTGGACCTGGCATCATGTGTAGCAAATAAGGATGAAAGTTTCTTCCCCTTCACAGTGAAAAAGTCATCTCAAACTAGGCAAAAGGCAATTTTGGAAGCTACGTTGGGGGAAGTTATGAAGTTATTTTTATTTATTTACTGGGCCTAGGCCAATCCAGGATGGTAGCTGGATGCCTTCCTTCTTACAGTCTGATCATGGCAGGGATATGCAGGGCACTCTTTCCTATTTGGCCTTCTAAGCAGATTGGGGAGGAGAGAGTCTCTGGTTTTTTCTCCCCCCCCCCACTTAACACTCCCTTCCCTTACTAGGACTTGCCTTCTCCCTGGGCTGGGAGAGGCTGGGTTGGTGCTCTCCCCCTACTCTACGCCTACTGACTTAGAACCTCTGACTGCTGTTCGGGAGCCCAAGAAAGGGAGTGGAAGGAATGGGCTAAAAACAAAACAGATTAAGGTGGGGAAGGGAGATTTCCTTCTTTAAAAAGAAAAATAGGAAACCCTCCGAGAACTGTGCTAGTAAAGATAATATGTTGAATGCACTGAGTCCCCGGTATAGTAGCAATAAGGAAAAATGAAATTACTTTCCTGTGCACACAGTCCAACCTGATAGGTGTGTGATGTTGCACTTAGCAGCCATGTGGTGGGCATGTGTGACTACTCTGGGTTTCACTTTAGTTTCTAAACTTTTTATCCCTTTCAAGTCCAGCATGGATGGGGAAGTGTCCCTGGAGCCCCAGAGCTGTGTACTTGTTTGCATTTGTTTCCCTTTGAGACTTGTGTTTGTGTTCTGCTTTGAGCTGTACCTTGTCCAGTCCATTGTGAAATTATCCCAGCAGCTGTAATGTACAGTTCCTTCTGAAGCAAGCAACAGCAGCAGCACAATTCTGTGTTTTATAAAGACAACAGTGGCTTCTATTTCTAAAGTGCGGTCTCTCTCTCTTTTTTTTTTCCTACCAGCAAAACAAACTTTTGGGATTAATTACATTTCTCATAGGTTTTAGGTTGAAATACTATGATTTGTTCTGTGGTAATACTTCATAGGGATTCCATTCAACAAACATGCAGAACACTGTGCCAGCAGTATTGTTGGGGAGAAGGCAAGTACAATTCAAAATGAGGAAAACATTATCTTCTTGAGGGGCTTATTGGGGAATATGATTAGCTTAAGATTCTCCTGGTACAGAAAAAAGATAGTGAGGAACTGAAAAAAGGCCATAGCAATGAAGATAAAGAGGAGAGGGCAGATTTGAGAGTTAGGAGATAGAATTAATAGGCTTGGTGGCTCAGCCTGTAATCCCGTGCTTTGGGAGGCTGAGTGGATTGCCTGAGCCTGTGGGTTCTGGGTTCGAGACCCGCCTGGGCAACTTGGCAAGACCTCATCTCTACAATTAAAAAAAAAAAAAAAAATCAGCCAGGCATGGTAGGGCATGCCTGTGGTTCCAGCTACTTGGAAGGCTGAGGCGGAAGGATTGCTGGAGCCCAGCAGGTCAAGTTTGTGGTGTCCAGGAGCGGCCACTGCACTCCAGTCTGGGTGACAGAGTGAGACTCCAACTCAAAAAAAAAAAAAAAATAGGACTCAATGGCTGATGAGAAGAGAGTAGAGATTAGCTCCCAGATTTCTCCTTGAGCATAAGTATATTGGGACATTACTGTAATCAAGATGGATATGGGGGTAGACTATAGAAGGAAGGCCATGAGTTTTGTGAAGAAAGGCTTGTATAAACTGTTTTGAGGTTCTTGTGGGGCAACAAGGGTAGGGTGTCCAATGAAAACAGGTTTGGCATTCAGGTAACACTATACAACGCAGTTACAGATATAGGAATCATGCTCAGATGGTAATTAAAGCCATACACATGAATAAGGTAACTTAGAAAAGAGAGAAGCATAGTGTACAACCCTAAGAAGCTCAATTTAAAGGATGGGAAGAGGAAGCAAAACCTGAAGTGACAGATCAGTAGTAGATCACTTGTATTTTTTTTTTAGCTTAATGGGGTGGGAGAAAAATCAAGAGTAGGAGAGGATCTGTGAAGAGATGATTACCAACAAGAACTTCTGCAGAGAGGGAGTATTTTTTTTTCCTGCTCATTTTATCATCCTACTACACATCTTGTTTGGGCTTTTATAAGTGTATGACTTACTTAAGTCATTCTCCATTATTTCTTGAAAGTGATAATTGGACAAACCCATTTAAAAAAGACTACCACCACTGCTGAAGTTCACAACTACCACCACTGCAATACCTCCAACTTCCTTTTGTCCCTAGGAGATAATTGTAAAAGAATAAAAAAACCTGATTTTGTTCCTAATCAGCTTTATAGATGGTGTTCTAATGCACTAGGATAGCACTTAGTAGCTTGCCATATTTATTTTCATGACTTGTCTTTTTTTAGAGACTATGAACTCCTAGGAGCCAAAGCTATGTTCTATTCATTTTTTGTCATCTCAATGCCATAGCATATACCAAGGGATCAATATTTGTGAATAGGATTAAAATGAGCTAATAATCTGGTTTATAAGTACAGGGTGGGAGGAAAGGGGTCAAGAGGTGATACTGAATACAAGGGATGGATTCAGGATTCCTGAATCTTCAGGTAAGTGGAAACTTAACCAGATTATAATAGTTTCCCATCCTCACCCCAAATTGGAGACTCTCTGGTTTTGTAACTTAAGTTGGTGGTATAATTGTAAAGCATGTAAGTTCTGCTACTCTTTCCTGGTACTGCTAAAGCATTCTTATTTCTATGCACTGTGGGAGGATGGCTCAGAGAAGGATTCTGGCAGAGGTCCCAGTGAGAAATTGTCAGTGGCAGCCAGTGTATACATACGTGGGCCTAGCATTCCTCTGGGAGTGAAGTGTTGTAACTTCAAATTGCAGATCTAACCTATGGCTGTCACCTGCCAGATTGTCTTGGGAGAGTCAGCCAGCCCCATGCTCCTTTTCAGCAGCAAGAGTTAGGGAGGTTGGTTGAACTTGGAGAGCAAATTGGAACATGGAGCAGATTTTTTTCCAGTTGAAATGAGATAGAAAATAAATATATGACCCTGAGTGAGGCAGAAATAAAAGTGCTTAGCAGGGGGAGTAGGAAAATGAACATTACAGCAACATTTTGCTGTAAACTTCAGCTTTAGAAAAGACATGTTGTAGAGGCTTCAGTGTTTGGATGTTGGTTGCTACTCAAAAGAAAATGACTGTGACTCCAGGACTTGCATTGTCTGGTCTTGGAGCTCAAGCTTTTGAGTGAAGGCTTGCCCTGGTACCCCTGGACATTCCCTTTCAGTGTTGGCTGAGCAGACTACCCTGTAAGCTATCAGTTAGCAAAATATGCTGTAGCACATTCTTGTCTAGCAGATGTCTTTTTTTTTTTTTTGAATTGGAGTCTTACTCTGTTGCCCACGCTGGAGTGAAGTGGCACACTCACGGCCACCATAGCCTTGACCTGCTGAGTTCAGGTGATCCTTCTGCTTCAGCTTTCCAAGTAGCTGGAACTAAAGGTGTTCGCCACCATGCCCAGCTAGTTTTTGTTTTGTTTTCTTATTTATTGTAGAGATGAGGTCTTGCCAAATTGCCCAGGCTGGTCTCGAACCAATGGACTCAGGCCATTCTCTCGCCTCCACCTCCCAAAGTGCTGGGATTACAGGCGTGAGCCACCATGCCCAGCTAGCAGGTGTCTTAAGAGTAGACTCAGGCTGGATGTTTGTTGGGTATCTCTTGGCTTAGCAGATGCAGAATCTCATGGCAATTAGGGTTTGGTGGCTAAAGGAAAAGGGTATAGTTCAAGGAAAAGACTAGTTTGAATTTCTGTTTCTGGGCCAGTCCCAAGTTGCTGTCTGTACTGCTGAAATGGAAAGTAATGCTGAAGTGGAAAATTAGCTCTCCTTTTTTGTTTCTAGCTTTCCAGACATTTATTCCTCTGATGATAGGCTGAGGATAGCTGGCAAGCTTAGAAGGTACACAGAGCATGGTAGAAGCACTCCTTCAGAGCAACTGTGTCAAGAAGGAGGAGCTGAAAAAGTAAATTTGCTGGGAGATTAGGTGCATTTAGAAGTTCTCCACTTATGCACCACAACTTTCCCCAGGATATCATATTAAGGGGTTTTTTTAGGCCTCTGTGGCTCACCGTGCAGGAACATAGTGCCCTCTTGCTCTGGTTTGCAGCAGCTTCACCATCATCCTCTTGGCAATGTTTTATTTAGGGCAAAATAAAATTAAGGGACCTTTGTAGAAAGTTCTCAGTCTCTCTTCCTCATCTTCTAAACACAGGGAACATTCTTCTTTAAATAGGAAGTGTGGCTGAGTGAGGTGGCTCATGTCTGTAATCCTAGCACTTTGAGAGGCCAAGATAGGAGGATTGCTTGAGCCCAGGAGTTCAAGACCAGCCTGGTCAACATAGTGAGACCCCATTTCTACAAAAAATCAGCTGGATGTGGTGGCATGTGCCTGTAGTCTCAGCTACTAGGGAGACTGAGGCCAGAGGACCGCTTGAGTTCAGGAGTTTGAGGCTGTGCTGAGCAGTGATCATGTTACTGCTTATCTTCAGCCTGGGTGACAGAGTGAAACCCTGACTCAAAAAAAAAGTGGCATCAGGTGTGGTGGTATGCACCTATAGTCCCAGCTACTTGGTAGACTGAGGCAAGAGGATAACTTGAGCCCAGAAGTTCAAGATAACAGTAAGCTATGACCACACCACTATACTTCAGTCTAGGTGACAGATTGAAACCCTCTCTCTAATTTAAAAAAAAAAAAAGGGGGGAGCTTCCAGCCAAGTTTTTTGAAAAGTCTAGGGACTATTGATGAGATTGAGCTGCAAAAGGAGGAAGGGCTTGTTTGGGTAGTTTTTGGCTAGGTGTTTTGCACAGTATCTGTTACAGAATCCAGATTAAAGTTGTCTTAAATAAGAAAACTTATTTCACATGACAAGAAGTCCTGGTTTAATATGACTTCAAGGTTGATTAATTCAGTGACACAGTGATAATGCCAAAGAATTAGGTTCTTGCACTCTTTTTGCTCTGCCATCCTCTGTTGCTTTATATCTTCATGCTAGTTCACCCCATGGTCTGTATATGACTACTGTAATTCCAGGAAGGACATGCTGATGAAACAGTGTCTAGCAGTAGAGGGACTAATTTTCCCCAGTGTTTCCAAGGTAAGGAAGTATTTCCTTGGAAGCTCCAGCAGATCTGGCCCCTTGTCTGCTAGAAACGGTTCATCTTCTGTCATTGGCAAAGCAAGTAAGATCATCCATTTTGACTGGCTTAGATTAATGAGGTACCCTCTGAGTCATGTAGACTAGACCACCTAGTCATGTCTGCTAGCAAAAAGCGGTGATAAGGGCTACTGGGTAGGGAGTGTCTGCTCTTCATAAGTACTCTTCTCAGAGAGAGTGACTTTCCCAGAATCATAGTGAGTAAGGAGAGGGCCTTCCATTTTAACTCTGTCCCCAAACCCCATACATTTTATATTGTATCTTTCTATAGTATAAAGTAACTTTCTGCCTTGTAGAAATTGATTGTCTAGAAGAGATTTGAACTCAGGTGCCAAGTTGACTCTAATCTTGGCCCATGTAAGAGGATTCTATCCAGTTGCTCTTCTCATCCAGTGATGTTTCTCATCTAACACAAGCCTAGGAGTGAAAAACCTAAGTGGAGTAGAATAATAGTGGCAGCAGGGAGGGAGACATGTAAACAGTGAGTTCCTGAGCCTGACTTGCTGGGCTTGGCCCCTTACCAGCAGTTAAAGTCAGCTGCTGGACACCCTGTCTTTCCCGCCTGCACTAGGTATTATGCCTTTCCCTAATGACATATTAAATATCTTTTCATGTGTTTTTTTGCTGTCCCTTTATCTTCTTCGTTAAATTATCTGTTGACACCTTTTATCCATTTTAAAATTGGGTGTTTCTATTAAGTTGTAAGAGCTCTATATTCTAGATACAAGTCTTTTGTTGGATATGTTTTACATATATTTTCTCCTAGTCTGTGGCTTGACTTTTCATTTTGAAGAGCAAAAGGTTTAAATGTTGCTGTCCAATGTACTAATTTAAAGTTTAGTTTATTGCCTTTTTTTTCCAGTTTGTACTTTTTATATCATTGAGAAGTTTCACATTGGGTATTTGGTGGCTGCTGAGGAGGCTCAGCTTTCTGAGGGCGCTGATTTTCTCTGCACCTGAGATTTTGTACTGTTTGTATAGTTGTTTCTTCTGAGAACAACCAGTGCTCTCAGGGATAGGAGGATAGATTTTTAACCTGTACCTGAGTCCCAGTCTTGAAGCCATTCATTTAGTCATCTGTCAATCCATCAGTTCACCAACTCTTTACAGAATGCTGCTACATGTCAGGCACTGGCACTGTTCTAGGTACTGGGGAAATGGCAGTTAACAAGATACCCAAAATGCCCCCTCTGTGCCCTAAGAGCAGACTCAATTGAGAATTAATTATCAAAAAATTAGGTGTACGTGTAGTCAGGGAAGAACCTCATACAGCTTTGCCTTTGGCAGAGTTTCTCAAACCTTTTTGTCTTCCCACCTCCTGATATAATTCATGAGACTCAAGTGGATTCACTCTAAAGAGGTGGCTTCCTGGATAGCAGAAGTAGATAGGAAGGCATCATTGACATTTATTGAGTTGGACTGAATCAGAGTCTAAAATCCTTTTCCATCAGTATCAAAAAAGACTACCCCATCTCAAGGATTCGTTACTATCACCACGTCTGTCTTGAATGAAGCTGAAGATGCATTCATTTAGGGAACCGGTTCCAGAATCGGAGGGTTGAGGATATGATAGACCCTTGCACAAAAGTTGATATTTACCCTGTCAGATGCTGCTACCAAGATTTGGATTAAAAATGACTTTTAAGAAGCAGTGTTTCATCTGGTGACATTTAATTTGAAATTCTAAAATTCGGGAGGGCATTTTCAGTCGTGGGGGTAAAGAAGAAAATGAGGCAGAATTGGAGTCAGATGTGATTTTGAGTTCTATCACTTATTAAGCGTTTATTACATGGCAGGCAAATCTAATAAGCCTTTGAAATGGAACTATAGTAAATGCTGTTGTTATTTACTAATATTTAGGTAGGGTTTTCTCTGTGCCTTGTGTGTATTCCCTAAGGTTACAACTGTGTAAGATACATGCTGTTCTCTCAGGTATTCAGATGAGGAAATTGAAGCCCAAAGAGATCAAGGGACGAATCCAGAGTCCCACAGTGAGTAGGGAGAACTGAAGATAGGCTATTTCTCTTTTTTGTTTTCTTTAAATTTGTTTTTGTTAAAAAGAAAGTCTAAACCACATTACTGATGCTTAGGGACATAGAGAAAAACCATGACTCATTCCTCAGCTGGAATAAAATAGTATGTTTCATTAAGACAACAAATATTTATTAAGGACCTACTGTTTGCCTGACAATGTGCAGGACTTCGTTTCCTTATAAAGCTTACGTTCTAGTGGGGAGGGGGACACACACAGTAAGTATAGTTAACAAAGTACAGTCTGGGCGAAGGGCTACCAAGGCACTACTGCAAGAGAATAACTGGTGCCCCACCACAGATCGGTGGTCCAGGAAGGGCCTTTTCGCCATGTCTTCCGTTGAGATGTAAAAAGAAGCAGCGGGGTGTGGGGTGGGGCCTGAGGGGAGGGTGGAGAGGGTTCCGGGCCAAGGGAACCAAAAACGGAGGCTCCAAGTCAGGAAAAAAGCCCTTGGCTGGTTGGAATTGAAAGCCGAGCCGAATAACTGCAGCATCGTCTTACTGGGGATGAAAGGCGGGGGTCCCTTTACCCAGTGCGTTCGCATCCTGGGAAGGAGTTGGGATTTCTCGGTGTGAAGAGGCGCTATTAAAGAGAGTTTCAAACACGGAAATTATCCGATCTGATGATGTCTGTGTAATGTTCTGTTACTAATCTTTTCCAAACTTTATTATACATACTCCCCGCCCCCCATAGTTGTTAAAGCTGCCCTACGGACTTGGAGAGATCATTTGCGGTGGTCACTTGATCGCCAGTGAGGTGGTGCGTGGGGCGGCCCGAACTGGGCGTGGCGGGGGGCTCGGGAAGGAAGGTGGCCCAGCACCAGGGGCCTTGGTAGCAGGTCCAGGTCGTCAGCGGACAGCTCCAGGTGGGCTGCTCCTCAGGTAAGCGCTGCCGCCAGCCGCGACGTCGCGGCGAGCAGGCACCG